GATGTTAAATATTGTTGTGCTAACTAGTTGATAATGTTGAATTATGGTGTTAAGATGTAGTTGATGTAAATTGTTGTGCTGTAAGTTGTTTAGGTGTGCTGGATACTGATATTGTTATGTTGTGTTGTGCTATGAGCTATGTTAGCTAGGTTGTGAGTTGTTTGGCTGTGCTGTATAATGTTGAGTTGTATGCTGTTATTGCTGCTATGTAGTGCTGTTATTGCTGCTATGCAGTGCTGTGCTTCGTGTTGATAGGGGCTGTTGTAAGCCGTAAGGCTGAGCTGTTGATCACTAAGATTAGAGGAGTTGTTTTCAAAATTTCCTCATCCCATTGTGTGGATTGAGCGGCTGTGGTGCTCTTGGAGCCCAATTTGTTGAAAATCCTCCCTGGAAAGCTGACCCTTGGAGTGGTAATTATGCTGTTCTCCTCTAAGTTCTTAGTGGTCCCGTGTGTGGGCAAGGTCGAGGCACACGTGTACAAATCGACCACGGTATAGGGGTCAGGTCGAGCTATACCGATTACAAGCGACCAATACTAACTGATATACGTGACGACGCATTGTGTGTTTACTGCTATTATTGCTGAATGCTATGTTATATTATAAGCTGATGTTGTTAAGCTGCTTGATGTGCTGATAGCTGTAGCTGTTTACCATTCATGTATTTATATATATGTATGATGATTCTTTTTACTAGCTTACCCTTTGTTGTTTCCATGTGGTTTAGACTGTAATGATCATACTATGTATGGAAGCAGAGCATGGTTAGGTTGGTGAGCTGAGGAGGGTCTGCAGCTGGCAGATGGAATTTTATTCTTTTGTTGTTTTTAGCTACTTAGTGTAGCATTGCTGGATGTATTTTGTATAATCTGACACCTTATCCAGATTTGGACCTTGTATATATATATATATATATATATATTCTACACGTTATATGTATATACTTGATCTTTTCTGTGTGATGTGTTGTGCTGTGTGTAGTGACCAGTCGGGTCGTTACATTTTTAAGTGTGTTAATGCAATACATTAAGTAAATTAAACTAAAAAATAAATACTGGTACAATTATTTTTATATTAATGCAAAGTATACATTAGTTTTATTATTGACTAATTTTCATTAAATTATTTAGATAGAGTTAGATGTAATTTCTTTCAAATTAACAATTTGTTGATTATTAGTAAAATATGCTTAAATATTTTTAAGTTTAAGTAATTAAAATGAGTGAATTTTAATTTTGGTCTTTCTAATTTTTTTTTATTTTTCATCTTTTAAAAACTCTTTCTTTATTTATTTATATAATGCAAATAAATGGGTTAGTTTAATTTTTTATTTTTCTAAAGAGTATTATTTTTGGATTAAAATGTAAAATCGATTCAAATCAAACTGAATTACAGTGAAATGTAAATAATATTTTTGTCAAATGCATAGTGTAGTAATACTAATTCACACATAATATAAAAGTCATTTATAAAATTGAAAGTTACTAAAAGTGTTTTTTCTTCAAATATATGATATAATATATTTGATTAAATATTTTTATATAAAATTATAAGAAATTTAGAATGAAAAAATATAAATTATATATAATATTCAAAATTAACTTTATTTTTAGTGATACACAAATTGTATTAAAGAAATGTTTGAATTAAAATAATAACATAATAATTTATACTAAATAAGTGATCGTAAATTTTGATCCTTATATATTTTTATTTTATTTTTATGTACATATTTTAAATATATAACATAATATTATATATTTTTAGTTACTTTTTAAATAATAAATCTTAAAACTTTCAAAATCTTAACTGAATCAAACTAAATTAAGTTTGATTCATATTATACAATACACCGAAAATACACTAATACAAGTGACATTTGATTTTTTTATTTAATTTAAGTAATTTGAAAAAAAATTAACTAAACACGCCATTCTCTAACTCGTTTATGATATATACACCTCCTTTTTTCTATAAGTACACATCTTTTTTTAAAAAAATAATTAAAATTTAAAATATTCTTAATTTTTTTTAATTTTATATTTTGTATTTTTTAATTTTACATCTACAATATTTAATTTAATATACTTTTTTTCACATAACATGTACCCCCTTATCTTTCCTTCACCTCACCTATTTTGGTAGCATGTGAAAACTAAAAGAGAAAAGAAAGTATGTGAAAAAAAGAAGAAAGTAACAAATTGAAAGTTAAAGATATAAAATTAGAATTAAAAAAAAACTAATATTTTATAATTTTTTTAAAAAAAATAAAGGTGGTGTACTTATTAAAAAAAGGAAGTGTATATATCATGAGTATTAATTATAGTGTGGTTATACGAGCCCTCCAACTTTATTGGGCTAATGGGCTTCCATGAAAGAAGAGGGGCACATGTTAAACACACCTCCACTCTCGTATCAACACACCCCTTTTTAAAAAAAATATATATATAATGTCTAAATTACCCTTTAAAAAAAATGAAATTCCTAAATTTACACCCCCTTCCCCGCACCCCCTTATCCTGTATAAGCATGTAAACTTTAGTCTAGAACGACACCAGAACGCGCCGTTCTGCAAGAAGAACGGCCCGTTTTGCAAGCAGTACGACCCGTTCTGCAAACAGTACGACCCGTTCTGCAATCAGTACGGCCTGTTCTGAAAGCGGTACGGCCCGTTCTGCTTTCAGTACGGGCCGTTCTTCTTGCAGTATTGGTCGTTCTGCTTGCAATACGGGCCGTTCTGGGGCCGTTCTGTTGCAGTACAGGCCACTGCGCACTTTTAAAATGGCTACTTTATGACTGATTTTAAAACTCCGATTTTAAAAGTCATTTTTGTACTAGTGTTTCTTTCCATAGAACAAGTAAGAGTCTTTCTCTTACAAGACCACCTGCTGACATTGCGCACCCCTCTTCTTTCTCTTTGTGGCACTCCTCTTCTTTTTTTTTTCCCGCACCTCGCACACCCCTCTTCTTTCTCTTTCTGGCACTCCTCTTCTTCTTCTTCTTACTGTTACGAAAAGTTCTTTCCGGAATTATATAAAAATGTTCCGGAAAATACTTTCCATAATATTAAATTCTTATTCCGGAAAGTATTTTCCGGAAATGTTTTGTTACATAATTCCGGAAAGTACTTTCCATAATATTAAAGTTACTATTACGGAAAGTTCTTTCCGGAATTATATGAATAATAATTTTACTATTCCGGAAAGTACTTTCCGGAATGTTAATGACTGTAAAAGTACTTTCCGGAATGTTAATGATTGTAAAAGAGTCTTTCTTATGCTGGTTATGGTGGGGCTAGTCCTTTTTTTCTATTCAGAATGATTGTAAAAGTATATTACTTAATGACATTGAGTGGAAAGAGACTTTGGGAAGAAGAGGGGTGTGGAGTGTGGGGTGCGGGGAAGGGGGGTGCGGGGAAGGGAGGTGTAAATTTAGGAATTTCATTTTTTTAAAGGGTAATTTAGACATTTTATATATTTTTTTTTAAAAAAAGGGGTGTATTTATACGAGAGTGGAGGTGTGTTTATCATCAGCCAAGAAGAGGAAATCGGGATAGGTGACCCAACGTTGTGAAATGTAATGCTTTCAGAAAAAAATATATAGTGATGTTGATGCCTGTAATTTTGTAAACATATTTTCCTCTAAGGATGAGGTCAGATTGAGATTGATGGAGAATGAAATATACATATCAGATATTAACCTACGAGAAAATGTTCCCAAAGTTATTAATGCAAGGAAAGGGACCTGATTGGGAAGAAAATAAAGAGTTATAAGTTTATGTAAGAAAACACATATATATACATAACGATAGGTAATCAACATATAATTTAAAAGTATAATTCATAATTTTATCAAACAACTTTTAACAATAACAACTTAGCAATGTGTCTAATATTCAACAAAGCAATATAATTATCTTAATCAACTAAAATAACTAAAATAATTAAATCAATATCTATCTCAACTTTCAACAATCGATACAATTTACAACATGTATGATAGCAAATAATTTAAATTAAACACGAATGTCACATTCATTTGAGTGAGATCAGAATAAACTAATACATCACTTGAACATTCCATTGACGAGTTGGTGAACTTCAAAGGAATCTTCTAGAATCTCAATATTGTGATTCGTGACGAACCTCAATGCGGCAACGAAGAGTTTAAAAACAAACTAAAGATGAAAAGCAAAGTAAAGAGGACCAATAATGAATTTGAGAGCAATGATCCACAAAAAAGACTATGAAAATGGTTTTAGGGATTGCAAACACAAACATGAACATGAAATTGAGACTAAAACTAAGTCAATTTACTTTCACTTGAAAACTAAAAGTCACTTAGGTGAAATACAATAAATCTATGTCATATCCATGTAACCATTCATTGTTAATTATTTAAATAAAACTAAAAAAAATGACATTAATTAAATAAAATGAGACTAAATTAAAAAAAAATAGACCAAATAAATAATTTAGTCCAATCATGATATATGAATAATTGCCCATATAAATTTTATTGTTTACACCATTTACATGACCATAAAATTTATTTTAGAATTGATAAATGGAAAATGATTCAGCCTCCAAACGTGAATGCCGAAATTCTCTCCAAACGAATAAAATAATAGTTTAAATTATAAAATATTAAATTAAATAATTATTTTATAATAAATTTATTAAAAAATATTAATATTTTAAGGATTCGGACCATTATTCAGAAATCCTTTCGGACTGTGTAACATAACTCTTGATAAATTTATTTTAATTAACTAACTTATTTATTTATTATTTTATAAGGTGCAAAATAGTTGAATAAATCTTTCATATATAGAGAGTAGTAAATTGTTACTGATGTTTTTTTTGTTTGTAATTACGTGTTTATATGCAGACAAAACCGATGAAAACAAGGAAAAGATTAATGAAATATACATATGTTTAAAGCAACAAAGTATTAAAGCATAGCAAGATGAATGCAAAAAATGTAGACTAGAAAGGAAGCAGGAAATGTTTGAATTATTCATTTTTATATTTATTCACGTTTACAAAATCCTATGTCTCCCTTGTTCCACACAGAACACTCAAAAAAATTGGAAACTTTAAAATGCAGAAGCATACAAATAAATGTATGTAAAAGAAGAGTAATTACATGTGCACTGCAGTGGTTGGTAAAATAAAAGGCAGAGTGAAGTAATGATATCATATCATCACAATCGTTGACCCAAAACAAACAATCTATTCCTCACTACCCCTTGTCCCCGAGAATAACCGATTCCAAGATCGTTCTCCGACATCATCCTTCGGCGACCGCGTCCGAGAAAACCCACCTCTCACGAGAGGACTAAGGCTGTTCCCCACACTTCTTGTCCTGTAACCCCTCCTCGCGCTACTCTCGCGCGTGAACCTCACGTCCACGCCGCAACTCGTGGTGCGACTCAGCGTCGAATTCACGAGCTGGTTCCGCACCTCCTGCGGCAAACGCAGCGTGAACCGC